CCCCTGCCATGATGTAGCAACCGCCCCCAACCCCTGTCTCAAAACCCCCCACCCCACAGGCCACCAAGGTGGACGGCGTGTACACGTGCGACCCGGTCAAGCACCCGGACACCGCGCGCCGCTACGACCGCCTGTCGTACCGCCGCGTCGCGCAGGAGGGCCTGCAGGTGTGCGCCCGGTGCCCCGTGCCCTCCATCTCTCGAAACAAGCACCCCCTGCCGGCCCGCCCGCGGGGCGGGCGCGCCGAGGCCTGCGCACGCGCGCGTCGGGCCGCCTCAACCCGGGGTTTGGACCCACAACACCGCAGCGTCTGCGCCCGCGGCGGGTGATTGCTGCCGTCTCGTTGAGGGTCTGAGGCGCGCCGCTTGTAAGAGATTTTTCAGGTGCAAATGATACACTTGTACTTCCTCTATCGCCTCTCTCGCCACCAGGTCATGGACGAGACCGCCATCACCCTGTGCAAGGAGAACAGCATCCCCGTGATCGTATTCAACGCCCTGGCGCCGGGCAACATCCTGCGGGCTGCGATGGGCGAGGACGTCGGGACGGTGGTCGGGGAGGCCGAGGGCGAGGCGCCGGCGCTGGGCGGCGTGTAGAGGGGCGGCCGCGCCCCGGCCGCTCTGGGGTTTGGGGTTTTGGGTGCGGCCGAGCGTCAGCCGCCCAATAAACGCTGCTGCCTCGGGTCGCCAGTGTCCTCCCAGCCCCGCCCAGCGCGTCGCCGGGCGCGTGCCTGGCCGCGCGGGCGAGCGGCTGCTGCTGTGCGCGCCCGCGCCTCCCGTGGGGCGCGGGCGTTTGCACCGACGCCGGGCGGTGTGCCGCAAGCGGACGCCCCATGCCTGAGGGGCTGGTCGATTTTGTTAGTGAGGGTATGCCCCCATTTATTATTTGTGGGGCTTGTGCGGAGCATCCCCTGGGGTTGATCCCTTTTATGCACTGCGTCCGACCCCTCTTCTTTGCTCACCCCGTGGCGCGGCCGATTGCGGCGCTGCCGAGTTTGGCGGGCCGATGGCCCCCAGCGCTGGCAAGCATTGTTGCCGCGATGGGGGCCCTTTTTGATGTGCAGGCATTATGTACACCTGAAACCATTTATTGCAGATTCGTAGCTGGCACGCAAATTACACCTGCCCCTCCCCGCAGCCTGGCGCCCACGGGCTGCCCCAGGAGAATGCCTTGCTACCCACTGCAGGCGAGCAGACATCCCGCCTGCGGTTGAGTGATGGTCATTTTCGGCTGCCCTGCGTCTAGGTGTGCGCCTTGGTTGCCGGTCCTGGAAAACAGGGCCGGCCCTGAACTTGCAAACGGCAGCATACCCAATGGTCGGCACGCCAGCAGGTGCTTGCTGGTCGCGGCCCGCAAGTTGGCAGCGATGCAGCCCTCGTGCGTGCGTGCGTGCAATCGCGTGTGCTTGCTCGTCGGCTTCGGCACGGCTTTGCTGGCCCCGTGATATGGTGGCCCCGCCAGCGGCTTTTGCGGCGTGCGCCATGGCTCGGGCTCCCTCCTCAGCAACCCTCACAACCTATTTTTGCAATGGTGAAGAGGCTACACGTTTGTAATCGACACACACGCGCGCACACACACACGCACACACACATGTGGTCAAACGGCACAGGGTGTTGAACAGGGGCTGAAGGAGCCAGGTGGTTCATAACCTTTTGTGAAATGCCCAGCCACTGGTAAGCGGAGGGCCCTGGGCCAATCTTGGGGGGCCCAGGGTGACGCCAGATACGCACGGGTGGTGCTGAAACCATTAGCGTGCCACTCTCCCTCATCATGTTCACGTAAAGCCTGGGTTTGATCCCCTGATGACTGATTCATGAACGGCGTGTCTGGCTGACGCGCGGGGGGCATCAGCAGGGTCACTGCAGCCATGGCTGGTGCCGCGCCTGCCACGTATTCACATGCAATACACAATGCATGTCGGGATTTCCCTGCGGTGCGTTAATGCCTTGCATGGACCGGCAGCTGTGCACTTGGCCCCCTGCGTCTTGCCATGGGGCGCCCTCGCCGCATGCGACCGTCAGCGCCGCCCTCCATTACGAACCGGGCGCACATCTTGTCGGCATTCATATCCTGTTGCGTTACACGGATAAGCGGATACGATTCCCCGTTGGTGCAGAGTTTTGAAAGAAGCACGACGCCTTCACGACGTGATCAGGTGACAGTTCCCTGCTTTTGAAGGCCCGCAACTCGCTGAAAACCACGACAATCCAATCACACACAACAACGAAAACATCCAGTGCACATTTGGACAATGAGCAACAACGGCGATGCAAACGGCGTCCACGCCCACGTCAGCGCGTGCGCCGCTGCGGACCCCCCCAAATCAGCGCAAGCGGCAAGCGCCCCCGTCCTCGTCGTCGGCGCAGGGCCTGTGGGCCTCGCCGCCGCCGCGTGGCTGGCCGAGTACGGCGTGCCGGTGGGTTGAGCCCAGGAGGCGTGCGCCCCCGCGGCAGCATATCTCCCGTGCATGCAGCGCCCATGTCACACTTCCGGCAATAAAACCCTGCGCCCCCACCTCTGCGTCACTAAACCCTGCCCCTGGCCCCAACCTCACCCCCGCCCTGCCAACATTCAGGTCCGCATCATCGACGTGGCCGATGCCCCCAGCCCCTATAGCAAGGCCTTTGCCGTTTGGCGCCGCACCATGGCCGCCCTCGCGCCCCTCGTGCCCCCCTCCCGCTGGGCCGCGGCCGGCACCCCCCTCTCCCGCATCACGATGTGCGACGCCGGGCACGCGCTCGCCTCCGTCACGCTCGCGGACGCCGACGCGCGCGGCGACCACGCGCTGCCGCCGGGCGTCCTGCTGGGCCAGGCCCAGACAGAGGCACTCCTCACAACCGCCCTGCGGGAGCGCGGCGTCGAGGTCGAGCGCGGCGTGAGGCTGTCATCTTTCGCAGCCGACGCCGACGGCGTCGACTGCCTCCTGGAGCGCGCCGCGCCCGCCGACGAGGCGCCGCCGGGCGGCAGCGCCCCCGCGGCGGCGCAGCAGGAGCGCGTGCGCGCGTCCTACCTGATCGGCGCCGACGGCGCGCGCAGCGCCGTGCGGCGCGGGCTGGGGGACCCCTTCCCGGGGGTCACGCTGTCACGGCGGTTCCTCCTGGCTGATGTGGAGGTCGACCCGCCGCCCGGCCCCGCGCCGGCGGCCGCGGGGGCGGGGTTGGGACGCCGGGAGCTTGAGTCTGGGCTATGGCTGGGGGCGATGTATCTGACGACGACGTCTGAGGGGCTGCTGATGGTGGTGCCCATCAGCCCCACGGCCTGCCGCGTGGTCTTAGACGGCGGGAAGGTGGGGAGACCCTCGTTTTCTGTGGGGGGAGAGGGCGCGGCGGCCGGCGGCGCCGGTTACATGGACGGGGCTGCCGGGTATGTAGGCGGGCTGCCGGCTGCCACGAGCAATTGGTGTCGTCCCCGCGCCGCAAAACGCACGATGCATGAGCACGCTCACGCCCGCCCGCGCGGCCAACTCTCTCTCTGCCCTTGCATGCCACCACCGAGATGGAATGAACCCGTTGACGCGCGCACGGCCAACCCTCCTCCCACCTATCCCCCCACCCCGTCCCCCACCCCGCAG